CTCCCGAGTAGCTGGGACTATAGGCGCTCGCCACCTCGCCCGGCTAGTTTTTTTTGTATTTTTTAGTAGAAACGGGGTTTCACCAGGTTAGCCAGGATGGTCTCGATCTCCTGACCTTGTGATCCGCCCATCTCGGCCTCCCAAAGTGCTGGGATTACAGGCTTGAGCCACCGCGCCCGGCCTCCTCTGTGAATTTTAAAGAGCCAGGAAAAAAATATAAAACTTTTAAATGGAAATGGGCTGTCCTTATTTGTACTAGAAGTATTTGGTTACGGCAAGAGTGCTAAGTGTAAGGGACCCTGTGCTGTTCATGCTTTCTCTAACCAATGCTAATAATGAGCCAGGGGGAAGCAACATCAGCATTGACAGGGGGCTTGTTTAAAACACTCATTCATAAACCCTTTTCAAACATACAGAATCACATTACAGAATGTGCAGCCACAATTATCAAGTGATTTATAAGCTCGTTAAAGCTTTAGAGGCAATGCTTAGCTTAGTGTTTATCAGCCCAGGCTTCTCTTTAGGATCACATGGCTGATAAGCAGAAATCTCTTGTGCCCAGGCTTCAAAATACATTCATGAGAGTTAAGTTCCACCTTTGCACTAGAGGGTGGTCACAGGGCCTATTCTATTTGGGTTTGGTAGGGACAGGTCATTGTGGTGCATGTTTCCATTACTGTAGCAAAAATTGCTGGTGTCTATGGCACAGGAGGGCACCAGAGGACAGGAAAGGAGAAACTTATATTTGCATCTTCATGGAGCAGCTCATTGTTCCTGAATTTCTTCTGTTTTAAAGGACAGAAATGGGTGGCCTTTTCTGTCTTTTTCTGCTAGATGATGTCATGCTAGCAGGTAAACATGTGGTACACTTTTAAAGACATATTCTCGAGATGCAGGTGTAATTTGTACAGAGAATCTCATCTGAGAAGAAACTCCAGAGAAGGAGGAGAAAGAAAAAAAATGGCTTTTCTTCAGGTAAACGTGTCAGATGAAGAGCTGTGTCCACTCTTCCTCCTGGACTGCCATGCGTTTAGTACTCACACACCTTTACTTCTCTACTTGTGTTTTTCCTCCCTGAGTTTGATTTAATTACTTCTTAAAATTCCTATGATAGTCAAGGGTCTTTGAAAAATATTTCTTTTGCCCGGCGCGGTGGCTC